CAGAAATGATTTTTTTTCCAGTAATGACAACATTCAGTACCACATAAGAAATAAAATTGAAGCATTGATCTTAATCTTCAAATATAGGATAGCTTTAATATTAAAATTAACATATAAATTTAGCATCCATCTTATTTTCGACTCACTTCTGCTGAGTAAATGCACATATAAAGAATGAATCACTGAAACAGTATGCAGTGAAATCAAGTTCATTTTTCAAATATGTCAGTTCCAAAGCAGTCAGTGCCTGTTTTCTGGCCGCCCAACAAATGTTCCCAAGATGCACCTGTCCCTCCCAACACCTCCCACTGATCTAGCCGTAGTGCAGTCTGGGGGCCGTGGAAGGTGAGTCCGGGAAGAACAAATCCAGTAAGTGTGGCTGCTACACAACACACCTCTTCCTAGGGTGCGACTTCATTTAATAAATTGTACATCTCTTTTAGCGGCCTGCCATTTAACCCTAACATCCTGGACCAAAGGGCTAGAATCACGGCCCCTTTTCCATGGTACCTGTTCTGTTGTCTCTCCAGGTTGCTCTCCTATGAATTTCAACCACAGCCACATACCAGGCTAACAAATGCCTTATCTCTCAATACATCTGTGAAACTACTTTTGTTTTTTACATCATTAAGAGTGGTGACGTTGCACAATAAGATATCATTCCACATCTGTCAGAGTAGCTATTACCAATAAATCCACAAGTGTTGGCAAGGATGTGAGAAAAGGGAACCCCTGTGCACTATTGGTGGGATTGTAAATTGGTGTAGCTACTATGGAAAACAGTATGGAGGTCCCTCAAAAAATAAAAATAGAACTATAAAATGACCCAGCAATTCTCCTTGGGGGCAGATATCCAAAGAAAATGAAATCACTATCTCAGAGAGGTATCTTCACCCGCCCTGGTCATTGCAGCATTATTCACAATAGCCAAGATATGCAAACAACCTAAGTATCCATCAGGGGATGAATGAATAAAGAGATGTTATTTACTAGGTTGAAATAAGCCAGTCACAAAAAGACAACTACGGTATGATTCCACGTATCCATGGAATCTAAAAAAGCCAATCATAGAAACAGAGAGGATGGTAGTTGCTAGGGGCTGAGGGGTGGGAAAAATGGGGGAAATGTTGGTTAAAAGATATAAACTTCTAGTTATAAAATAAGTAAGTCCTAGGTATCTCGTATACAATATAGTGACTATAGTTAAGAATACTGTATTGTATAATTGAAAGCTGCTGAGAACAGATCTTAAATGTTTTCACCACAAAAGGAAAAGGTAATTATTTGATGTGACAGATTTGTTAACGAACCTTACTGTGGTAATCATTTCATAATATATCAAATCATCACATAGTATACCTTAAACTTACACAATGTTATATGTCAATTATATCTCAATAAAGCTGGGGGGAGGGGAAGATTATTGACTTTTCTTAAAACTGAAAGCTCCAGAGCAAAATCTATATCCGGGAGTCAGTAGTAAAACAGGAATCATGAAATAATGAAGCATCGACAGCATGCACAACCTGAGGGAGCTTTAAGCGGCACTCGCCTTAAGGGAAAGGGTAGCACATTCATGCTCATCTCTGGCCCTTCACCAACCAGAAGCTTCCAAACCAGGCATTTCTGATCCCACATGTGTACTCAATCTAATCATTAACATTGACACTAACGTTATTTGAACTAGATGCAGGGCTTGTACCGAGGCTGCTTACATACTGAAGTTTACTCTAGCCACAGAAAAGCAGATAGGGGTGGAAGGACCATTAGAAATCTGCAGCAAGAGTCTGTATCCGTTAGCTCGTCCATTAGGCGTAGATCTTAGAAGGAAACCCAAGGATGTGATGCAGAGTGAGGCAGTTCTCAAAGTTTAGTGAGTTCAAGAATTAACCTGGAGAGGATGATATATAGACAGGTGCTTAGGCTACCAAGGATTCTGAACTCAGTAAGTAGGGCCCAGGAATCCAAACTAGAAGCAAAGCATTGGGGTGCCTGGGTCACACTTTAAGACAAACTGCTGTGGAACAACATACTAACCCACCGACACACATACTAAAATGAACAAAGCATTCCCTCTAAGACTAGTAGTTGGCAGGTCCTCACTAGAAGGGGAGAGAGGCACTGTGGTTTAATGTGGATTAACTTGTGGTTTAATGTAAATTCCTGTAAGTCTAACTTGACTCAATTGCCAAGAGGACACCCAAGCACCCAGATATTTTGTCTATGTGATAGATGGGACTTAATTGGGAGATGATTTTTTTCTCTTTTCATCCAGATGTCTAGTTTCATGTGAAAGAGTAACTGGTGCCCTTGGGCCGATGAGAGTGTTCATGTCCCTTGAATTCTACATGCCTTCGCAGGATGGTCTTTTGAGAGTTCAACTACAATCTACTTTAACTGGGGTAGGGGCCCAGCTGTCAGGACTAGAGGAAGCAAGACTGAATGCTGAGGTACATCTTTAACGCCCAATTGCTCCCTTCTGAGCCCGAGCACCCTTGCCCCCACCACAGGAAACATTTCTTGCTGCAGAAGATTACATTGAGGTCTAAACATACCCACACCAAACCCATGAATGAGCTGTCTTACAGATAATTCCATTTTGCTGGACACTGTAAAAAAGAAGTCACTGACTCTGACGATCTGTGAGCGAAATCAAGCTGTAAGAACACCACTGTGTCTTAAGTCAAGTTTTGTTCAATCCAGATCATTCAACCTGAAGGGGGGTAACGGCTGAGGGCTTTGTAGCACCATCAGCTCACATGGGATCCATTCTCATTGTTGCTTGTTAAATAAATGTAGATAAACTTTTGAGATAAAGACACCTTTGAAAATACATCTGTCCTAGGTAGGCCCTGACATTAGCCCATCATTACCATGTAAAATGTCCTGAACATGTGTCTTTAGAATCGGAGGTCAAAGTATTCCTCTCCACTTCCTCGCTTTCTTTACGTAAACACTAATGTTTAAATGTAACACTAAATCCTGTTTACTTTTCAACACTCTGATATGTAACTATGTCAATTAAATATACATTAGTCCAACAAAGAAAAATGAATTTTCCCCCCTCAGAGATATCTCATTCCGAAAGTGCCCAGCAGAAATAAAAATGAGATGGTCTTTTGTTGTAAATATCTTTTTTCTCCTGGGACCCAAACAAGGGTGAGAGTCAGCCCCTGGGCCCTAGTTGAGGGAGCATCTCAGGCCAAGAGAATTTGCCCTCCTCTCCCCCAGACTAAGCCCCTCAAGAGTATTTCTTGCCCTGGGGTCTCTCTCTACATCTACATCATGGAGATGCTTTTATTTGCTTATTTCCTTTCCTTTCCACCTTCCTAAGTTTGTCTGGCCTAAGCAGTCATCTTTCCTTTCAAGCACTGTGAAGAATGAAAATAGTATGAGAAGTGGTTGGTGTGGCTACTACTAAGTATCATCGTTTTAAAATTCACTTTTAAACATATCTGAGCAAGAAGTCTGACATATGTAGCACGCTTAAAATGCTTTTAAAATTAAGGGGAGCCCTCAGATGGTTGGGTGTTCTCCCACAAGGTGGAAGATTACGACTGTTCCCCGGTCAGGGCACATGCCCGGGTTGTGCATTTGGTCCCCGGTCAGGGTGCGTAGAAAAGGCAACTGATGGATGTTTCTCTCACACATCGATGTTTCTCTCCATCTCTTTCTCCCTCCCTTACCCTCTCTCTAAAAATAAAAAAATAAAATTAAAAAATATTAAACTACATTAAGGGGAAAAAAAGCCCTGGTTTTCAATGTTTTTTGGTGGTCGTCTTCTCCAACTGCCAAGAGGGAATTCACTTCTACAACCTAAATGCAAGTTACTGAACTGAATTAGTAGTAGTCAGAGTTCTCATGCTGTGAGTGTTTTCTCTGTCAGCACTTCACTTACTTCCCACGTGGTAGGCCCTCTTGCTTGCTCTTTGTTTCTAATGGGATTTTCCATTCTCATCCCTGCTTATCTTGGACTCAGGGGCAGGTAACTCGGACCGCAACGTAAAAGGAGCATTCTGTTACACAGAGTAGGCACTCAATAAGTATCTGTTGAAGAAATAAATGAATGGGTAGAAGGACTGACTTAACTCTATTCTTGAACAATAAATTCTTTCTAATTGCAGCCCCAAACTTTGTCATTCATGTTTCTCAAGGAGTGTCTCACTGGATTTGGGATCCACGTACTAGTAAGTAGCATTTACATCAGTTTCTATTTTTAGAGATCTTCTTTCCATAGTAGAAATGACATAAACCAAAATCATCTCCTTAGTTTATTTCTTCTAGAGTCCTTAGCATGCTACATTAACCTGACAAAGCTTAATCTTGTGTTCATTTCACAATACATTTCATGCAGTTCACAGCTGTGATTGGTTTTACATTGACATTACACATGTTTCGATTCAGCCATGTGAAAAGAATAATTCTCAATGGAGTTTGTCTCTGAAAACTGTCCAGGCTTAAATAAGCGTGTGAGCAGTTCACTCTATTCTTAGGTGCAGTTTCTCTTTAAAATGCAAGAAGGATTTTTAGCGTAAGAATATAATGTCCCTGTTTATAGTCCATTTGCAATCGAACCACTTCCTTTAGGTTTCACATATCCTGAGGAATCCTCTTTTACAAAACTGCATTCAAGTATTCTATTTTATTGAACATTCCAGGTTGAGTTCAGGAGCAAGGCTGACCTTCAGCTTTACATCCCCAAATAAATCTTCCGTGGACCCAGCTTTCCCAAGACTATTCTTAGCATTAGACTTTCTTTTACAACAAACATTCAGCACTAAAGCCACAGAGCAGAGCTATTTGGCATTTTCCAGTGAAGTGCAAGAAATTAAATAAGTTATGTTTTTATTGCTAAGGTACAGAATCAAGCACAGTCACTTTGTCAAACAGAAGGAAAAGGTATACACAGGATGTGGCCTCTCCTCAGGGCACCCCACCCCCCCACCCAGGGTTCAAATGCACAGAACATGTCACCTGGTCACCTCCCATCTGGTACCACTTTAAGAAGATGTGTTGAGTATTCTAGAGTCTGAGGAGTCAGATCTCTCATCATAGTCATCCTCGGTGTAAATGGACTGCTTTGACACAAGTGGACACCCATCATCCGGGATGGAGATCCGAGGGTCTTCGGGTGTGCGAGTGGGGAGGACAGGCGAGCTTCTGAAGACGCTGGTAGAGTTACTGGGGAACGGGCTGACATACTGGGACCTCAGCTGGTACTGCTGCTGCAGCGTCATGGTATTCCACAGGGTGACATCGTTGGGCAAAAAGGGGCTCGACTGGTTTCTTGCCAAAGTATTTCTCAGCATGAGTGGGTACCGGGGCGGCTGGGGGAATGGGTGCTGCAGGGGCACAGCCAAGGGGTTGGGGACAACGTTACTCGAGTCAGCAGAAAACCTCAAGGTGTCTGGGACCCTGAAGGCTGATCCCACGGACCACTTGGAAGAGGAGATGGGGTACGAGCTCAAGGTGTGTTCGAAGATGTGCCCGTTGGAGGGCAACACAAGACTCTCCGGCTCTGCTGAAGTTCGGTCGGCCGCCGAGACCGAGGACCGGCTGGACAGCAGGACCTCCACGGCGCTCACCAGGTCCCCCCCACAGCCCTTCAGGATCAGCTCAAGCACTGTGGGCTTCTGGTTGGGGAATATTTTCTTTAACACTTCCAGAGGGGGTCTGTTGGCTTTCAAGCTGAAGGGCAGAGACACGGTCCCTGAGGGGCCCTCAATCAGGAGGTGATTCTGTTCCCCGTGGTACTTGGGACTGTCGGAGCGGCTCTCAGAGTTGCCGCCATTTTTCTGGACAGCATACCCACCTTCATCCACCGCCACTATCTCGGGGCTCTCAGGGGTGAAGCAGCCCTTACTTTTTGCAACATCTGGGGAGCTCCTCTGGTCAGTGTCTTTGTCACTGAAGGTCTCTGTGTTGTCTGCCATGCTGCCGTCCCCAAGTCGCTCTTCAGTCAAATCTGAAAAGCAGACAACAGCTGGGTTAATCCTTTCCTGGTGTGCATAAAGAGGAACAGATGTGCTCAGGAGAGAGCCCTGCATGGCCTTTCTGGAAGGGGGAATGCATCCCAGTGGGTTATAACATACCACAAGCCTTAAAAAAAAAATAAATAAATAAATTAAAAAACCCCAAAAACCTCTGAATATAAAGACATAGAAACCAGAATGATGTGTGCTGGGAAGCTTGCCTTAAACACGAAGGGCAACATGATACCTAGGTCCATAGAAGATGTGGCTGTCTAGCAGTTCAATCTAAACAGGGATGTTCTATGGGGTTGGGCAGAAACACAGCTCAGGGAAGATCATGAAAATGAGCTCAGGCTTTTCTTCTGGCTCCTCTTCCGCAAATGAGGTGGCAGGTGTAACCTAAGGACATCATTGGCTGGTATGTGACCCATACACCACGGGACATTTTAATATTTTAAATCCACTTCCCTATATGCAGGTTTCTTATTAAATGTCTTGTGAACCAGGCATCAATATGTTTCAACAGGATGCTGTGCACAATAATCAGTTGATGTAATTGCCAGCGTGAAAGAGAGCAGCATCTATACACTGAAATCTGTCTTTAAAAACCACCTGAGGGACTGGCAGACGTGGTTATCTGTAACGTGCCTCAGAAGGCAAGCCAAACCAGCTGTGCATTCTGGATGATGGGACAGGTGCAGGAAAGGAAGAGAGAAGTGACGAGAGCGTGGCGCAAGGAGCATGACCCATCTATGGGACTATCGTCCATACCTCCAGGGCCTGCAGTGCAGGAGGGAGATAGGTTTTCATGTCCTGTTTTATTTTTATTAGTAAAGTTAGAGAAAACTTAGAGAAACCTTCTTGAATTATTTTAAAAGAAGAGGGGGAAAAAAAGCTTCCCAAACAAAGCAGAGAATTGCTGTGAAATAAACCAGTTATAAATTTAACATTTTTACCTAACACATTACCCCCGGAGAGGCTCGTATTATAGTGCTAACCAGGCAAAAAAAGAGAGGTAAGACTGGTTTGCTTGCAGAAGTAAACTCTAACAGGCCTTTATAATGAAGAAACATATTCTTTATTAATAAGCTACACATGAGTGAGTTTTTATCCTTCTTAAAACATGAACTGGCAGTGTCCACTCAAAACCAATGTAACTGATCTAAAGATGGAAAATTATTAATGACTCACTTGTCAGGTTGTAAACAATTGGTTTGCCTGTGTTTTCTACTTTCCTGCCTGAATAGGCTCATTGTCACCTCCTCTGAGGGCACACCTGATTAGTGTACATAGCCAGTTGGTGAAATTTTATCAAAGTAGCTTCTAAAAATCCATCTCCTATTTGTTGTTGTTAATTTTAAAAGCCTTTAACAAAAGCCCATTTATGAACATTCTTCTAATATGGGCCATATCTTAAGTTAACTGAAAAACAAATCTTCAGTTCTTCACAGAGCAATAAATATGTGCCAGGCATAACTATTTAAGAAAATACTCTTAAATTAGATCAGTGCAACTTTAAGTCATAAATCTGATATGAATTCTTATTTATACCAAGTTTGTATTTTAAGTAAACTGCTTATTTTTCATTATAAAATATGATTTCTATATGGGTTCATTTGCAGCCCACACAGATCAGCCATCTCTGTTTTCTATAGCTCCACGATGCACAAAAAACCCATCTTTGAAGGAGCAATTTGACATATTCTCTCCTCCAGCTTGCTAGGACTAGAGACCCAACTTTTATCTCCTGAGTTAATGCGGTACTTGTACTTTATCCAAAAGAGAAAAACAGCAGCAAAAAAAGCTTCTATATATTCACATTCTAGCCCTGGCCGGGTGGCTCAGTTGGTTGGAGCACCATCCCATACAACAAAAGGTTGAGGGTTTGATTCTGGGTCAGGGCACATACCTAAGTTGTGGGTTCGATCCCTCAACAGGAGGCAACCAATCAATGTTTCTCTCTCACATCGATGTTTCTCTCTCCCTCCCTCTCTCTCTAAAATTAATAAAAACATGTCCTCGGGTGAGAATTTTTTTTACAATAGAAAATCACACTCTAATCAGCTGGACCTACCTAACTCTTCCTGACTCCCGAACGCATGCATGCCTGCCTCTTGGCTGTTACTGTTAGACACTTGAAAATGAGCGGGCAGTGACAGTATGGTAATGGCGCCGAACTGAACACACAGTTGGATTTTGGCCCCTGCTCCGTGGAGCTCAGAAGAACAAGTCAAGTACTCTCGCTGAGCAAAAACAGACATAAAGTAATGTTTTAAATATTATGTACTTCTAAACAGCTTTCTTATTTCTTTAGCTTTCATTTTCTGTCATCAGAATCAAGTATTTGTATACCTATAATGCACAAGATACTGAAGACACAGAATGGACAGTAGAAAATACTGGAAAGTGTGAGGCTTGTCCCTAACTTGCGGAACTTATTAAGTTGGGGTGATAAGAAGCGTGTGCAGGGGGAAAAGCAAACACACCCGAACGGACTTGTTAAGCATCTAATGTAAAACACATACACAAATGTCCACAGCAGCCATAATCCACAATAGCCAAAAGGTCAATGCAACCCAAGGGTCCGCAGGTGAATAAATAAATAAAATGTGGTCTATACATGTAATGGAATATTATTCAGCCTCAAAAATGAATGAAATTCTGACACATGCTACAATATGGATGAACCCTGAACACATGCTAAATGAAATAAGCCAGTCATGAAAGGACAAATATTCTATGATTCTACATAGATGAGGTACCTAGAACAGGCATATCCAAAGGATGGTAGTTACCAGGGGCTGGGAGAAAAAGGGAATAGGTCTACAGCACCTGTTTGGGGTGATGAAAAAGTTCCAGAAATGGATAGTGATGATGGTTGCAAAACATTGTGAATGTACTAATGCCACTACCTTATACACCTAAAAGTGGTCAACATAGTGAATTTTGTTATGTATATGTTGGCATGATAAAAAAGAAAGAAAGAAGACACACAGTATCATAGCAATAGAGGAGACAGTGAGATTTTTTTAAAGAGAAACAACTGGTTCTAGAAAATAAAAGGCACATAAGTATAGATAAAAAGCTTAAAATTTAGCCATTTCTAAAAAAAAGGTACTTAAGTATTTTTATTTATTTTATTTTGGTTTTTACATTTTTATTGTATTTTTTTCCATCATCACTTATCCCCCCTCAAATCCCGCCCCCAGCCCCTCCCACAAGCACCACACTGTTGTCCACGACCAGGAGCCCTTGGAGGGAACGGGAAAATAATGGAAAACAGATTTTCTTTCAAAATGTGTGAACCTAAGAACATCTTCCTGTTGTGAAAGGTAAATTGTCCCTACCCTGGATGAGTGTCAAACACTGACAACATTTGAGGAAAAGGTCCTGAGGTTTATCAACCAAATTTCCTCTTTCACAGAACACTTCAGGCTCCTGAAAAAATGTGACTCAAAGAGGAGTTTAGCCAAAGGGGAACTAGGAAATGATAATCTGACTAATCTAATCTATCTACCATATTGAAAATGTAGTACCTTTTTTTTTTTTTTCAAGATGGCAAAGGACACACCATCCCAATCAACTGGCTATGGGACGGCAGGAGTCTAAATCTATGACAGCACAAAATGCCACTGTCGAACCTATTTTCCTGCTCTGCAGAACAGGCCACAGTGGAATCTTGTACGGGCGCCACCTTGTTCACCAGCTGTGACTCTCCCACCCTAAGACTGCAAAAGCCTGGTTCTTACTTCCTCGCGCTTCCCTTTGCCCCTGCTCCGGTGCCACGCCCAGTGCAGCCCGCACTGCCAGTTATTTCTCAGGCAGCGATGGTGGGTTGTGCTGATCCCCCCACTTTCGCACGGGTTTCTGGGCTGAACTGCCTCTCCAACCGGGAATCCACTATGGCAAAAAAGTGAGAAAAGCTAGCGAGATGTCACAGGAACCAACCTTACAAACTCAGAACATTCCGACCAACCAAGTTCGGCACTATTGATACAGTTTTCAAAGGGAAGACAGAAGAGGTTGAAAGAGGCGATGAGTGGGATGCGCCTCTGGCGTTCACACCCCTGAGCAGCACAGAAGGGCCTGCGAGGGGGTGCAGGGGCGCAGAAGCCCAGTCCACAGCCAGGGCCATTGGGGTTTCAAAACAGGGCAAGCCTCTCACCCCGCACCAAGAGTAAGTCCCCGGCCAACAATAATTTCTGAAAGCAGAATATACAGTCCCTGCAATTTTGTGGCACTGTGCTATCTAGTATTGGTTGTAATGTACTTAAACTAGATGTTGTAAATTATTCTATTATAAGCACAGAAATTCACAAGTAATTATAGAGGGTGAGTTGTGAGCCCAGTGATAAAGTGTCATTTAATAACAGGTGTTTCTTTACATCTCTAGATTTTTTTCCTAAATACACTTTATAAATTGTTCACATCGGTTTAAAACACAAAGGCCTTTCTTGATATAGAAATGTAAAACTGCCAACTAACAAAATGAAAAGGAAACTACTCCCCAAACGCTTTACCCTCTTCTTCCTTGAAACTAATTCCTAGAACATAAAGGATAAGAGCATATCCAACTGATAATATTTTTACCCCTCATATATGGATATAGAAAGCCAAAACTACTAGACAAAAACTAGGAAGAAATTAATTCCATCTGATATTACAAACCTCCTATTAAAAGTGATAGATTTGCTGCCTCTAATGTTTAAACAGCAATATATTTTTAAAATCTTACTAAATGTTCACTCTTCAATTTCGTATTTTTCATGATGTAGAAACACAATCACCCCTTAAATAAAGTTCACTAGGATAAAGATTCTTAAAAGATATTCAATTAAGAAGGAAGTTTTTAGGTGGATAATAAATATGTGTGTGTGTGCGCGCGCACGCGCGCGTGTGTGTGTATATATGCACGTCAAAGGATAGCTACAAGACTTTAAGGAGAGAAAACAAACACACACAAAAGTAATTTCTGATCTAAAATTACAGTTCG